TCCCTCTCTCTTGTATTTGAAAGCAGAGAAGTTTGCACATAGTATTTTAAGATGATGTCTGCCTTCAGCGTTAGGCCTACAACGTAGCTCTATTCAACGTCATAAAAATACTTGCTTATAGTAGGTGTGTATTTGAGCAACCTTAGTGCACATTGATCCAGTTGAATAGCCAACATCAGGGTTTTTTAAAGCAGTGTGTAATAAAGATTATGCCTTTGTGAACAATAGTCTTTAACCACCATACCTGCCTGTTTGTGTTCTTTAAATGAATGTCAGATGTTACGTGTGCAGTTCGGGGTGTACAAAGATGTGGCCTGCAAGATGCGGCTTCCCGTTAGCTTCAGAGACAGGCTGTTACGCTTGAGAGATTTTTCTGTGGTCTTTATGGGGGGGGACGGATGGATGAGACGGGACTTGCAAACCTGCAAATGAAAGAGATCCCTCAAATTTTGTTTCTTTTTTAAAGAAAGGCAATGTTCAGTACTGCTAGCATGATGCAAATATTACACATTACAGTTATAAAAGATGTTGGCTTACTTTGAAAGAGCTACATCTGGAAGAAAAGGCAGAAGCACCTAAAGCTGCAAGTAGACTTTAGGCTACGCTGGTGAGGAAGGAAGGGAAAGGGGTAATTTTTTCAAGTTTTTGTTTTTTCTATGTGACGGGTCTTTCAATCAGTACTGATTCAGTAGTTTTTAGAGTATACTGCATCATTGATCTGATGCTTTGTGAAGAGCAGTAGCTCATTTAATACCTTTAATATTGAACAAAGTCATGCTTTTTCTTTCCATTCTTGGTGGTATTTTAAAATAACTGTTATGGACCTGTTTTTTCTGTGCCCTCAACAGCCAAATTCTGGTGAATTGGACCCATTATATGTAGTTGAAGTGCTACTGCACTGCAGCAAAGAGAGTTTGAAAAATTCTGCTACTGAGGCTGCAAAGCCAGCCAGACCCGATGAAAAAGGAGAGATGCAGGTTTGTTGCACATCTTTATTCTCAATAGTTTCTTATAAATGTTCTAAAAGACTCTATTTCCAAAGCATTTGCAAACTGTGGTAAAAGAGGGGTTGATGCATTGAGGAGGAAAAGGGAGCTGTGCACCTAACTCTGCTTTCTTAAACGGTTGCTGATTTCGCTGAAGAGGAAACTTTCAAGCGTGAACAAAAGACTTGAGTGAATTCGTTACCATATAAAAAGTGCTTTGAAATTTAGTACTTAGTGTTGTGTTTTGTATTTCAAGTCAGTTAGATGAAAGACAATAGCAGTAATGTAAACACAGTTATGAAATGACCTAGGTATGTGATAAAATCTGCAGATAAACAAGTGTCTATAAGCTGGGATTTTGTGGGTCGTGTATTTTTGCTAGATTTGAGAATTGAGACAGAATTTTTATAATTCTTGACTAACAAGTTTTAGCAATGCTGTTCAGCAGATACTTTTCTTAGCAGTATCTTCTGTCTCTGGGAA